CACACAATCAACAATACACAATCATTATTCGTCGTTCTCTTTTCATGAATTTAAACAATTCTTTCGATTTTAGACAATATGAAGTAAATCTATGATATCCAAACTATTTCGAATTGGTAAATAAAATTGAAAATTTGTTATGAAATGATGATTATATCAAATTTCTTCGAATTTTCTACTTATCATTTTATCAAACAATAATGATCTGATAATGATAGCATTAGTGTTACATTTTACAAAATGTTAATTTTTTAATGTTTAACTTTTGAAAACAGAATGAAATATTTAGCATAATATTTCTATCAAATCTTTTGTGTAATATTTTTTAACAAAATTAATTGTAACTCACTGAATTTAGTAATTACATTTTAATGTATCAATTGATTTAGTGATTTTATCCTTTTTGAATACATTTCACATTTTTGATTAATTAAGTAATCATCCTTGAAATTCTATTATTTTCACAAATTTGACGAGAGCATTGAATTTCTTTGTTTTAAATATTAAAATATTATCGCTTTCAGTATTCAGTTATATTTGATTATTTATTATGAAAGAAGTGAAAGTGGAAGAGAACTTCGAACGATTTCATTCTTATAATAGTTATGTATAAAGTTGAAGGAATAATACAATTCTATCGATTAAGGTATTATTAATTGATTAATTAGGAAAGATGAAATATCAAAATAAAAAGATCAAATAGAGTATGGAATGGAAAGCTGAAATTAATAACAAGACGGACAAACAGGGATTCCAATGTTTTTGTAAGATTACATGCATGTTTGTATCTAGTGTTATGAAATATCATTTCTAAGATTTTCTCTTTCAGAAATTTTACAGGTTAGTTGTCCATTTATGACTCATTCTAGTCTTACTGGCTAATCCAATTATTGCCCAATAGTTAAAAAATAAGTTCATATGGGGTTTTATTCGGGATAACTTAAAATGAAGAAAATGAGAATAGGACCATGAGATCAAATATGTTCAAGTGTGAAGAATTCAAATCCATCTGATAGCTTCCCAAAATTTCAATTATTACGTCTAATAGATATATTAAGAGTATTTTTAACATGTAGAAAGTTGAAATTCTTAGTATCCATCGTAATGAGTCCAGTAAATCTGTCACCTCCTTCCTTAATCTTCCCGAAATGGAGGAATTAGTTGTGATGAATTATCGTACACATTTATAATCATATTGAAGGTACTCTTAAGCAATCCTATCAGTGAGCTATTTAATAAAAAGTACAATGGAAACTCTTGACTCGAATGATAAAATAACAGATGTGAGAGGCAAATTTATAAAAGATTTTATTGATACTAAATTTGTTAGTTGCAAATAATAGTACGTAAATCACCAAAATTTCGAATTACATCAATCAGATGATTTGACATGATCAATTTTGATCCATCTTAACTATAAAAATATATATGCTTAAGTGAACAACAGCCACTGAGAATATAAAACGATCACACAAAAAGTAAAAAGTATTTTGATGTATCACATTTCACAATATAGAAAATGCTATGAAATGATGGAAATCTAGAAGATATAAGAAAATATTTCAAGTAAATCATACATTTTAATCTTTACAAATGTATTGATGAATCCATGGATGCTCCATAACGTCTCTCAAAGGAAGACGTGCATCGGGATCTCTTACCAATAACTGAAAGCATACAAATAAAACTAATAATTACAAGTGAATTTAAAAAGTTATGATATATCGATTAATTAATTCTATTACATATTAATTAATTCATGACTTCTGTAATTAATTCGTTATTCTGCTTGTTTAATTACTTATTTCACTTGGCGAAATACAATTAGAAAGGCAAACTTTGGTGATCAAATCTTTGGCCCCTTCAGAAATATGACTGGGAAATTTATATTTTACGTTAGCAATAAGTTTATAAGTTTCGTTGTGAGTTTTGCTTTCAAACGGCGGTCTGCCAACTAGTAGCTCATAACAGAGGACACCCAGCGACCACAGATCAACCTGAAATTTCGAAATAATCTGCGCTCAATGGGAACAATAGAGATGGGGATAATTAAGGACTAATTAAAAGTGGAACATAAGTAATGATGATACATGAAAGAATGTGAAAGATTTGAGAAACGGAAAGGACAAAGGAATGGATGGATCTTCCAACCACGAAAGATTTTCAGTTCAAACATAAATGAATAGCAAAAAAATTGACACTCTGCTGACTCTAGCTTAATTTGCAATTCACCTTGTCATCGTGCTTTTCGCCTCGCACCATTTCAGGTGGTAAATAATCCAAAGTACCGCACATCGTTTCTCGCCTTAAACAGAGATGAGACGTCAAAAAATTTAGAAAGTTCGGACTAAAATTCAATAAACTTCAGAATAAATGGACTTTTCAGGCAAACCTAGAAGATGGAGCATGAACACTCCATCCAAAGTCTGCAATCTTTAATTCATCAAACATGCCCAAAAGTAAGTTCTCCGGTTTGATATCGCGATGTATAACTTTTTTGTCGTGACAATAGGACAGCGCGTCCGCCATTTGAAACATAAGCTGAATAAACAGATCTATTGCTGCAAAGTCGTGAATATGCAAAAAAAAATGTAGCAGTTTCAAAAAAAATTTTAACCATTAAATTTAGCCAATTCATTCGAAGCACAGATGATGCAGCAAATTTATTTTACGAAATCCTCAAGCATATTGAATTAATGCTGAATTTGCAGTATGTCACTACAGCAATGAGGATAACTTTAGTAATTTCAAGTAAACCCACTATTTCACCAATTAACAAGTATGGAATAAAAAGCAATCCTAATGTGACAATTTTTACTCGTTATTGAATAAATCTTCCACGATAATGCATAAAATTGTAAACTTTTAATAGATAAAGGAATCAAAATTAACACACATATCTAAGTATAAAAAAAAAATACCTTAGCTGTACGCTCTTCGCCGAAATGATCGCATTTCTGCAGTTCTTTATAAAGCTCACCTCCAGCTGCATATTCGAGTATTAAGTAGATACGTTTTTCATCATAGAAATAATTGTACATACGGAGGATGTGAGGATGTCGCAAATGAGCTTGGATTTCAATTTCACGACGTAACTGGTGTTCCACATTGTTTTTGATAAGTTGCGATTTGAACAGGATCTTTTAAAAAAGTTATTTAGATATACATAAAATTGAAAATTTTTTTATTTTATAATTTTTGCTTGATTATTTTGCGATATCTTGCGATAACTTTTGTTTAATTATTCTGAGTAATCTTTAAAGTAAAAATTATATACTTTCAAAGCAACGATGAAATTGATGCCTTTGACGCGTGCCAGATAAACATTGCCAAATTTGCCTTTCCCTAACGGTCGACCAATTTCGAAGTCACTTAATCGAAATTCTCGGCTGTAATAATCCCACAAAATTCTAACAACTCTTGAGATATGTTATGAAAATTTGCAAAAGGTAGAACAGGTAAAACTACAGTTGATCAACGACATAAAGCATGATTTTACCCATCAAAACTGGAATATTTGAAAATTCGAAAATTTCATCTTAGAAGCTTACTCATAAAATGGGCTTTTAGGAGGTAGGAATTCAGATTCCTTCTTCGTAACTTGTCGAAAACTGTCCCCCTTATTCAGAACGCTATGCAAAGTTTTAGTTGATGAAGAACTTGCCATTCCACATGTACTGAAATAATATGAAACAAGTTGAATATCAGAAAATATCATAGTCATGAATAACAGAAGTTTACTTTCACAGCAGACAAAAGAAATAAACGCAGTGGGCGAAAGAAAGTATAAAAGCAAACGCAGAAAATCGTATAAGAAATGAGCGAATAAGAGCAATAATAACAACTAACCGCTAAATGACAATTATCATATATGATATATATTTCCAGTTAAATGATTTATATAATAGTTGCATATTTGCAGCTATGCAAATAAGTATTAAACAAAAAATCATATTTGAAAAACATGAATGTCAAAAATTAGATATCATTTCACATAACATTCAATTCTTCTTTCTTCCAAGCCGAATCAAACCCATCCTTACGCCATTCATTTACAGCAAATTAAACAGAAAGTGAATTTATTTAAAAATTTAAATTCAACGAAATCCCGCCATGCGCTGTGCAATTCGATATCCCACACGGTCATCAGCTGAAAATTGAATCCACGTCGATTATTGGCATAGGGATCTTCGCACTTCAATACTTCAATGAATCCTTTACAAATACTTTTATCAATAACGAATGAATTATTTGAAAGAAGATCAACCGACCCAGAACTCTCCCAGTGATGTTTGCAGTTCCTTCTTAGAATAGTATTTGTCACTTCTTTTTATAAAATTTATAAGGATCCTAAATTCTATTAAGTTCTCGCATACCATTTGTCTTGTGATTTAAACAATTGACAAATTTACGAATTAAACTGATTTGATGGGTATTGTTCATTTGTAAACGATTTTTTACTTTTTCATAAGAAATATAAGAATATACAAAGCATGAAAATGCATCGATAATGTAAAGAAAAAATATCTGCATATAATATAATGAAGATGGGCAAAAATATTTGACAGGCAAGTAAAGATTACAATGATAACGAATAAGCAAATGCCCAATTAAGATTACCGGTGAGTTCTTGAACATTTCCAACAAGAAAAGTAAAGCTAACATGAAAAAAGTACAAGGTGAAACAGCAATACATTATTTACATTCCAGCAGCTTTAAAATTGAATAATTAAGAGTTAAATTATCCATATTGCAAAAAATTTTCATCTCAAAAGGGAAATGCAATAATAAAACGATATGAATGAGGGAAAGAAAATACCGAAGGAAGTTTATACTTCTTAGAAAGAAAAATAATAGCATATTGGAGAACTAAATAAAAAACTGAGATTTTAAAAGAAAAACAAATAAAGCTGTAAGTTAGAGTTTCTTTTTCAGAAAAATAACCAATTTCTTCTTCAGAATAATACCTTCGCTGATATTCATCATAAAAAAGGAGGAAACTATGATTTCGAATTGACAAAGGGTAAGATGTATTCAGTTTGCGGCCAGGCAAGTGCTTCTGTATCATTAGTTGTAACTATTGAGTTCTCAACTTTTTCATCATTTTCTAGCTTTTCGTCAACATGCTGCAAAACATGAAATTACTGAATAATTAAGTATATGCCGGAAAAGTAGGCATATATTAAAAACAAAAGGTTTCTAAGTTGTTATTAAATTTGCTTATGTATTTTGCATCATATTACAAGTTTTAAGCAGAAGAATGAGCATTATTTAAAAAAATAGATATATCCATGCAGCAGTGATAAAAAAGAATAATTTGCTAATATAATATAATTTAATATAATGTGATGAAGTGAATAATATAGGAACAAATCCTACCAACAAAGGGAGACCCTTGGAAGAGAATCTAGCACGAATTTTCTTCAATGTTAGCAGTCCCTTCACCAATCTCTGCCAGTTTTTTATAGCTCGTTGTGTGTGCTTCTGAAAATCTCATATTCACAAAACTTTTAGCCTTTTTCTCAGTTTCAGTTCGCTTTTTAAAACCAAACATGATATCTTAGCAATAAAAAAGCCTGGTGATCGCTGTTTAACCAACCAATTTAGCAGCTATTTTCTTTTTTTCATTTTGTTTAAACCAGGCTTCTCGAAGTTCATCCTCACGCTCTTTCAAAATTACACATCCGTCGAGACTGAAACTAAGAATTAAAAAAAAAAGAGTTGAAAATTGATAGAGATCAATGATATGATTTAGTCAACCATTGGAAAAGGTCTCCGACATGCAGAGTGACACAGTTCTTCAGACTTAGATGTGAAGGAAATATCGAAAGTTGACTGACATTATCCATTACTCTAATATTCTCGATTCTTCTGTGGTAAAATTCCAAGAGATAAATCGAATCTAAACTAGAGAAAATCGGAAAAAAGAAAATGCAAGTATTAGCAGCAAACTCTATATTTCATGTTTTGAAACGAATTGTATTTTTTAAATCAACCATCTAACGGTCTTACAAACTTGAAGTCTCATAAAAACAACTGACATGGGATGAGTACCCCCTCTACAGTGATTCCATCCTACAACTGCTGGAACGCAATCAATGCCAAGCTGACGAGCTATAGCTACCAATCCATTCAGCTGCAAATGAACACAACCGTCTGGTACCATACTGCTGTTGTAAACATATAGATTGCCAAATTCATTGCGAGGCACACGACCCTGCAAGCAGCAGAACGAAAATAAGATAATCTTAGATTTAGCTAATCCACCTACACAATTGAACTTTTTAACTTTGACTTCTTCGATAATTTAGCGTGTATGAAAAGCGCAAAAAAAATGTGAAGAGGCTATAGCATTTTGGAACAGCTTAGTAAAGTGGGACATAAGGCTCAAAGCTCATATTACAAGTAGAAGTCATAATGGAACATCGAGAATCATCTCCTCTTTCATTAGAAAGTAATAAAAGATTAAATTAGAAAGTAGCAAAAGATTAAATTAGAAAGTAGTAAAAGATTCACATCAACAATTTTCGGAGTGACGTATGGTATCGTTTGCCATCGGCCGTACAAATCAACAGTTTTCGGTCCACCGTACTCCGATGAGGCACGATTACAGGATCTTTTTTGTACAACTTTGTATGGCTTTTCATTAGGCTGCAACAATATAAAATTTAAACACAATAAAATGAAATAAAATAGGTTTTACAGGAAAGTCCGCACAACTGATTACTTTAATCGACCGAAGTTGCTTCATCCAGTTTATTACACCATCAAGTCTATGAACTGAACTTCGTAGATAGATATTGAAATCTTTGATTTTCCCTACGGGTTGTTGATTTTCTGGATATATTGTTTCATATTTGGATAAATCTTTCTCCAACACATATCTGAAGAAAACTTGAGAAGTGAATCTGTGATTTTTTATGGCATTGTTCCAACTAATAACAGATAAAAACATTAGTGATATTTTCCACTTTTTATTATCGCATAATTAAATAAAATGCTGTGACATATATTGAGAGTAATTTATCACACATGCACTCAAAGACACTATTCCGTTGGTTCATCTCCGCAACTTTTCTAACATTTTTTTTCTGGTTACGGTAAGAGTCATCAATTTGTAATTTACACTAGCTCTAAGGTGGTATTTAAAAATATAGACCGGTATGTTGATATTTAGAGTTAAAACTATCCAATTACCGAGTAGTTCAAGAGCTTAATTAATTTAAAATAAACTTTTATTTGTACTTTAATTGTAGAAGAGCCTGTGTACTCACAACGGGTGATTTTTGTACTCCGATACAGTTGAAGGTTTTGGTTTATCGAAGAGATATTGTTGGATTGCAACATCTTCGAGTTGCCCACGCATTACGTTTCTATTCCGATAAAGCTAAAAATAGCGCTAAATTCAAAAACTAAAATCGAAAGAGTTAGAATGCTATATAATGAGTGATTTAAATCAAAAATAACCGCTAGTGTATCATTCCACCAATCTTGATTCACCCACAATCGTCGAATTGCAGGCGTCAGATATTTGGAAGCATAACGTGCTGTTACATCACGTATTCCATATTCTTAAAAATAAAATCTGAATTTATTTTAATTTTAGAAGCGGTCTTCTATCAAACCACCACATAAACTACAGGAACTACTGAAGAAATAACTTAAAGCTATGCAATATGTGACATAAGTGGATGGAGACTTTAATTATATAGACGTAAACGAGTGATACTGTTAGGAAACATGGTCAAACTGTCAAAAAAAGTGATGAAATTTGCCGTTATCAATACAAAGGACGTAATGCATAGGTGAAGTAGCATCAGCTTCCATTGTCTCTGGCTTATTAACCGATCCCGTCCATGGATCCAAACCTGAAATACGTAAAAGATAAGTGATCCATAAAATTCAAGCCCCATGTAATTAATAAGTCTTCAACATTTCGATATACTTTCGTTAAATTGTGTTATCTAAATCAAAACTTTACAAAAAAAATATTACATATCCAGCAACGTGAGCTCTCATCCCAAAATTCCGTCCAGTAATCCCTTTTTAGACGCATCTTGCCAACTGAAGTACTATCATTTCCATTCGGATTTTCGTTGTCAAAGAGTACAATTTTCTCAACTGTCTCTTCCAATTTTTTTGGCCATTCCATATAGTCATTAGCTGTAAGCTTTCTTGATCCATAATAACTGATAAGAGATTCAACCGCTTCGAAAGATCGTTGTCGCATTGTCTGAAATCTTATTTTGAACAATGGTCCTTTTTACAACCATGAATTTTTAAAAAATAATTGAAACGATCTTTTCAAGGAATACATTGGATAGCTGTTTGAATAGTTCAAATAATAATATTGTGTTCATTTACATGCATGTGATAATTATAGTAAAAAGAAGCACCAGTTTGAACGGCATTGGCTGGCAGGATAAACAAATGCGAGCTGTTTGTTTCAGAGCAATAAGACTCAAAAACAAAAGCTGAAAATAAATTATGGAACACAAAATAAAATGCGGTGAATGATCAAATAAGTTAATTATTGCTAAATGCTTAGTACTCTTGTCGTTACCAATAAAAAGAAACGCCTTTTGCTTTTTGAAGTGTTAAAGAAAATATACATAACGGCTAAAATAAGAGTTAGAAGCATTGTATACTGTACCATTCATCATCAAACTCTATTTATACCAATAGTTGTGTGAATATGAAAGTTAAGAAAAAAGTAGAAAAAACAAATAAAATTAAAAACCATCTTGGTACTTTTATTAATTAAATTTTACTACCAAGAAATTGTTGAAAGAAATATAAGTTATAAAAATGGTGAATCATTTCCAAATAAATCTTACAGATGCTAAATCCTTATCGGTTTCATAGAACTGCCCAGCAATTAATTCTTTCAGCCGATGAAACTAAAAAATGAAAGTTAACCTAAAATGGCTTGTCAACTTATCAATAGAAAGTGGAAAACTTTTAAGTTACTCTTCCAAATCAATTCACACCAAATATTGAGTGTAGAATAGTAATTATGAATTGCTTTTGACATCACAAAAAAGAACTCTCCCACAATCTGCACTTTTTGGAAAAGGTTGGCTAACAAATTAATTTTAACCCTATGAAAACAAAACCTGAGCATCACTGAAGCCATCCTTAGCCACATAAATTTTCCCGGCCAATTGATATGTTGTCTTGAACCAATGAAGAAATCTTTCTGCTACTGCAATGTTAAAATCAGAACACGCTGCCACGACAAGTTGTTCGGGTATTACTGATAAGCACATTGACACCAAATCTTGTTCACGCAGCAATGTGCATACCCACATACGCAAATGTGCAATGTAACAAAGCAAGTGCATCTAAAAAATCTGCAAATTATTTCAACGTCCTTGGCAACCTTATTGCTATTACTAGAAAAGTATAACTGAAGAAATGAAAGAATGAAAAATATCTGTTATAAATTGATAATTACTTAGGAAATGCCAAAAATCACCAAGTACATTATTTACTATCTTAAACTGCTCCTTTTTCTCCTTGCTTCATTGTTCCGTCAATTCTTTTTATTCAAAATATCGGGAAAAAACCTTGTGGCAATTAGTTTGTCTTTCACGAAGTTTTTGATTGACATGTTGCTTAATATAACGTGCTCTTCGGGTTCCTACGGTTTCCATTGGTTTTGCTTTCACCTTTGGTTTCTTGATTGTTACTTCGATAGAAGCAGTTGGTAGTGAAGCATTGTTACAAAAATCGAACTCATCAACATCTTCCCATTCATCATCCGAACAACTAGTACTATTACCATTATATGATAAGCTACTCGGTTCTTCACACTTTTTATCTTTTTTATTTCGCTTCTTTTTTGGCGCAGAATCTGAAAACGTTAGAAACTAATTGAGCAAAAATCACTGTGTAACAGAATCTTTAACTATCACGACATACTAATCTCACCTCAAAATTTCAACTTCTCTTCAAAATTGAGACAGCTCACCATCTATCTCTCTAGTTCTATCTGCCAACTTCTCTGGAGACCATCGTTTTCGTTTTGCTTTTTTAGTATCAATTTTATTTTTCAATTTTTCATCCTGTTTGCTGCTCTTACTTTTCACCATTTGCTTTGCCGTGGTATTTTGTGATTGATCTTCACAAGTGGAAATATTTCCCTTTCGTTTTTTCTTATTCTTTCTGGAAGAAGTAGCAGTATCTTTCTCGGCCATATCTAAAAGGCTAGATAAAATGAATTTATAAAATACAAATTAGACTTCAAGTGTTTACTGAATTGAATCTCTTAATTTATTGCTGACTTAAATGGCAGTTACCAGGATTTGCTAGTAATCGTACCAATTTTAATTTCATTTCCACAGTTTTTTATCTTTAAATGGAAGACAAATTGAACAGGCTAAAATTTAATTCCTGTTCCACCAATGGGAAACAATCATATCTTATTAAATGAGTAATTCGGTGAATCCTCGCTATTTCCTATATACATCAACAAGTACATTGAACAACTTCTGTAATTTGCAATCGAGATGCTCGAGTCGCAGTAATCCATGATTTATTCAACTGCACCTTGTTTTTCTCCTGAAGTCTACGACTACGTCGCGTAACACCACTTGACATCGCCATAAAGTTCTCTCAAAAAGAGATATCAAGCAGGAAATTCATAGAATACAGTATATCTGGGACCCTTCCACGAATCCTTATTAAGATCTCGAATCATTGTAACTATTAGTCTTAATACAAAAATACTTAGTACGCCGCCAAAATTAAGCTAGCGGTTTATAGTCAATATGCCATATTGTATCTTTCATAGATACGATATTCATTGACAGTAAATCGGAATCTATAAATGAAAAAAGACATGTACTGTCGCCTCATAATAGGCGGATACTGTTGATTATAATATACGTCTACTTCCAACCAACTAGTAACGAATTTGAAAAACTTGCTTATGAACATAATTGTTCCGTATTCGATTGATCATATCTTGCGTATTTCGGCAAAGTTCCGGTGTGTTTGAGTAGATTGGGATAGCTATTTAAAGTTTTGAACGATTCTCCTCTATGTCTATTTCCATTTTAATTTATCCTATTCTTTCTCATTCTTGCTATATAACAAAAACAGGATAAAGTGACAGATTTGAATGCCAACTTTCAATGCGGGAAAACATCACAAATAAAAGAACGAGAATTCTTCTCCAACTTTATACTATTCCATTGTCTTTACATTATAGAATTTGACTTCTCATTCGAAACCGGATAAACGATAAAAACTCCGTTAAATCACATCAAAAATACTAATTATTATTTAATAATTAATGATATAATTGGAGTAGGCACCTTATCTCATTTTGAATAGATCTCACAAGACACGAAGTTTATTCATCACAAATAATGAAGAATCATATCTTTCACTGAATAACTTATTTGATTTAGTTCTAATTTCATGAATTTTAAAATTTCAAAACAAGTACAATTGTTATCCAAAGATGATCCAAAAATAGTTGTCGGAAAGGTACAACTGCTTTTTCTCTGCTATGTAGTATTACAAGAATGGAAATTCAGCATTAAACTTCTTACAACTAAGTTATTTACTTAGCTATTACAACTTTTACTTTTACTTAGCTCAATCATTTTTTTTTCGTTTTTTCAGTAGACGGTGATATCAGTTAAGGTTACCTAAAGGTCTAATATTTATCGTGTAGTTTTTGTTTCTTCAGAATATTTTTCTGCTCTGCAAAACGTTTCGGAGTCAACCACTGAAAATAATTTGAATCATTTTATTATTTTTTGGGGACTAGCAATCGTAGCACCGGTATATAACATCAAGTAACTCGTAGTATATTTGTTAAATTGTACTCTAACTGAAATTACCGAATTAAATGTGAAAATTATGGTTCATCAAAGAAGACTCAAAAGACTCAAACCTAAAGAACGAACTTCCGATCCATACCTTCCCGGAAAGATTGCAGACTTTTGTACCCTGACTATTAAATTTAAGTTGATCCACTATTAAATTTAAGTTGTTTTTTCTGCTGCTACATTATAATTGATCACGCCGTTGAAGATGCAGGAAGTATTGTTATACTTTTTTCATTTAATAGTGTTAACTTAGCATGATAATATTCATCCTTGGTAAGGATTACTAGAAATATAAAACTCTCAGCAAATAAATAACTGAATGAGATTAAGATGAATTGGAAAAACATGGCATAGCTTAATTTGGTCATGCTTTCATTTCTGATGTTTGTTTGTTATTGTAAATTCGGAGTGGTTTATTTTGTTGATTACAACAGGAATGACGAACTAGTAGTATCACACCTGATGGAATTTACAATCAAGCCGAATTGATCATAATGCCCAGTGAAGAGCATATATTACTGACAACTTAGTTGAGTAGATTAAATGAGAGCTAATAAGTTTTGCTTTTAGTTGACGTTTTACATCTATATATAATTTGAAATCATAGAATATGATCTGCTTCAATCTTCTCTCATTATGAGATCCTGCTCTTCGCTTCTTCCAACTTATATTATATTGAATCGAAACTTCCAACTTATATCGTATTGAATCGGTATTTCGAGTAGCACTTCCATTTTCGCTGTTTGCATTTCACATTCTGCTAACATATTGTATTGAGGAATTACATATTTAATCCTGTTTTGCACCATTACCATATATAGATTGCCGTTGAATGTTGTAATTTTTCGTATGCTCTTGCCGCTCTTTCACAGTTTTTACATGCAAAAATAAGAACTCAATAATAGAAATACAGTAATTCTAATTGGAGAGAACAACAGTAACATCCTAACATACAATCAAAATGCTAATATAAAATCAGCTAGCGATTTTGGCTCGCGAATTTTTGTCTCTTTGAACGGTTATAGCATTCAACTTTTTACGCTAGTGTATTAATTTCCCTTAAATCTTAATTCCTTCTTTCAATATTTCTAAAATTTTGAATATAGATTTGATCATACTTTCAGATTCCACCATCACTTTTTCATCATTCCATTACTGGCGCCAGTTATGGCTGCTGTGATTGGTGCGTATTCCTATCAGTTTTTCATCGGTTTTCATATTCTCAAACCCGTGACAAAGAATATCAAGAACAAATGGAAAATGGAACAAGAAAATGGATTAAGGTAAGTTATGGAAAGCTCTGCGTGACGAAATCAATGGTTATGATGTATTTTTGAATTGTGGTTTCAATTTCGAATTATTTTCTTGACTTTTCGATCTTCACTATTTCTTCTTATATAATCATAATACAATCCAAAAAGTTGTGCAGACATTTGACACTCTATTAATGTTGTATAATTAATTAATGAATTGAGCTGGTATAAAATTTGAATAATTTTAAGCTATTTTCATTATCAAATTGCATAATTCTTAATTGTCACTTGGAATGCTTAAATGGTTTCACTGAAAATTTTCAATATATCATCACATTAATGGTTTGCATCACTTCAATTACTTTTTCAATTTAAATATCATTAGGTTTTTCAATTTAAATGCCATATTGTATATATATAATTTAATTTTTCAATTTAAATATATTGTATATATGTATGATTAAAATTAGAACCAAAAAGGCGATTAATTTCGCTTGGAATTTAGGGATTGTTTTTGTGGAAAGCTGAAGTTGTTCGACATTTTTGCAAAGATCTTTCCAGACACACTAATCTATTTTTATTATTTATTTGATGAAGTATTTAATTTTAATAATTAAAGAAGGGAATATTCATAGGCATTTACTCGGTAACGATGTTTGTACTTCATGACACTGTTGATTGCTTTGCTATCTTTTAATAATGTTGCAATTTTAATAATAAAAGAAATTAATTAACTCCTGAAATTTTATTAAAAAGAATAGGAAAAAATAACACATTGTTAAAATCAGCGAAGCATTGCAAATTTAGTTTGATAATATTTTAATTAATCAGAAAGTTTATCCCACATCCTAACATTTTCTGCCTTCAGATATCTAAACTGAGCATTGTTAAAGCCAACGAGGTATCACTATCAAATTTTTTTTTACTTAAATATTTGCATATTTCTTGAAAATTTATCTCAGAACTTCCAGGATAACAGCAACCCACAAGGAAGCATTTTAAGTAATATTTTTCCATTTTTCACCAATTCACTCTTTCCTAACATCTAAAGTCTCAAAATACATCAAATGCTTTTATTTCAACATGCTCCAAAACTTTTTTTGGGAAAGAGGCTAATGAGAAAAAGCTAGGAATTACATTTGACTCTTTCATTTTTAATTCTTACTTTGAAAACAAATTCTTCTAACAAATTTCAACTTTCTAACAATACAATGTATTTGAACTTTTCCAATTTTGAAATTTTAATAGTGGCATCTCGTTGGCTTTAACAATGCTCAGTTTAGATATCTGAAGGCAGAAAATGTTAGGATGTGGGATAAACTTTCTGATTAATTAAAATATTATCAAACCAAATTTGTAATGCTTCGCTGATTTTAACAATGTGTTATTTTTTCCTATTCTTTTTAATAAAATTTCAGGAGTTAATTAATTTCTTTTATTATTAAAATTGCAACATTATTAAAAGATAGCAAAGCAATCAACAGTGTCATGAAGTACAAACATCGTTACCGAGTAAATGCCTATAAATATTCCCTTCTTTAATTTTTAAAATTAAATACTTTATCAAATAAATAATAAAAATAGATTAGTGTATCTGAAAAGATCCTTGCAAAAATACAAACAACTTCAGCTTTCCACAAAAACAATCCCTAAATTCCAAGTGAAATTAATCGCCTTTTCGGTTCTAATTTTAATTATACATATATACAATATATTTAAATTGAAAAACTAATTGAAGTGATGCAAACCATTAATGTGATGATATATTGAAAAATTTCAATGAAAATATTTAAGCATTCCAAATAACAATTAAGATTTATGCAATTTGATAATGAAAATAGCTTAAAATTATTCAAATTTTATACCAGCTCAATTCATTAATTAGTTATGCAACACTAATAGAGTGTCAAATATTCGCGTAACTTTTTGGACTGTATTATGATTATATTAGAACTAGTGAACACAACTTTATCATCATTAATGGTAATTCTGATAGCGACTTTTTGGCTATTGCCAGAGGCTGATATTGAAATCTGGAAACATATTTCAGGCCTCTTATGGATCGCTACAGTTGCTAAATATAAAAGAATAGTTTTTTTCATCTTAGAAGATCGAAAAGTCAAGGAAATAATTCGAAATCGAAGCCACAATCTAATTATACAATCATTGTAGCACTGGTTTTATCACGCAGACCTTTCCATAACTTGCCTTAATCCATTTTCTTGTTCCGTTTTCCATTTGTTGCTGACATTCCTTATCACAGGCTTGGGAATATGAAAACCGATAAAAAACTGATAGAAATACGCGCCAATCACAGCACCTATAATTGGCGCCAATAATGGAACGACGAAAAAGTAGTGGTGGAATCTGAAAGTATGGTCGAATTTAGATACAAAATTCTAGAAATATTGGGAGAAGAAATTAAAATTTAAGAAAAATTAGTACACTAACGTAAAAAGTTGGCTGCCATAACCGTTTAAAGAGGCAAAAATTCGTGAGCCAAAATCGCTAGCTGGATTAACTGGAGAACCCATATTCAAGCTACAACATATTGAAATGGTTGTTGCAACTGCACCGAAAAGGACTGGCATTAAGTATCTCGGTATTTGATTCTTGGGTTCACAGCAGAATGCGACAAAAACGCCAATCAGACTAGTGCCAGCCAACTAAAACTATAGATGAAAGACTGAAATTATCAAACAATAAGTTAGTGTATCTGATTATTATTACTTGAGGTGTAAAACGAAAACCTGCTTTCCATTATGATGTTGGATTACGCGAAAGAAACAACTTTATGAATTTTCGTGAAAAGAGAAAAACAAACTTGATCGATAAAGGCGCCAGTATTGGAAAGATAAGTCCGTGGGAATGATGCGAAAATTATTCCGGTCGCATTTGGTCCACTTATTGTGCGAATACCGCCATCAAAGGCATTTATTGCCTCTGAAAACGGTAACAATTCCAAAAATTTTATGAATCATAACAAAAAGTAAGTCATTTATTGATTAATTTACTATCTCTTAAAGACATCGTTTACTTTACCTTTCATTTTACCTTTCAATCCACCAAATTGGAATTGAAATGCTTCGAAAGCCAAAAGAAATTTACCGCTATAAACTATATACATTGTCCCTGCGCCAAATGCTGCGCCAAGTGTTTGTGCAACGAAATACAGTAGACTGTGAGTAAGAGATATCTTTCCGAGAATGAACAAAGCAGCTGTCACGGCCGGATTCACATGTCCACCTGAAAATTGGTCCAATTATACATTTAATTTAAATTTATGCCACAAGTAGGTCATTATATTAGTAGGTAGAATAACCGCGTTGCTGTAAAAAGAGTGCTCAGCCCTAAATATTCTGGTCAACTAGGATAGGTGGATGTAACAGCGCTAGGAAAATTAACTTTGTGATATTTCTGAGGAGCCTGGCAAGCTTTTATAATTGCAGCAACGCTTAACAGTTTTGCAGACTATAATGTTCAGTTAAATTATTAAATTAAATTACCCATACGATAGTTGCTGGAAGGACAATCTACTGATACATATTCAAAGTGAAAGAAAGAATTAAGTTGCAGGCACACAATAGTCCGTTTCAGCTTTTTTCATAAGTTTTCATTTCCCGCATGCAATTTGGTGGTTTCAATTGGAAACCAATTTAATGAAAATGCTATTATAAGTTACCCGAGGTTTCCCATGCAACATAAACTGCCAGTGTAATCGCTAGTCCCCAACCGATATTAATTTGCATTAGAGAGTTCGATGTCTCGCGACTAAGTACGAACTGAGCCATCACGCCGGTACCAATAAACTGAATTCTTTACAAAATTCATTTCTATTCAGATGGCAGAAATTTTCCTATTAGTTTAGATAACTCAGCGGAAGTATTTATAATATGAAACTTCCACGGATGAACAGAAGTGAACTTTAATCATTGAGATATAAACATAAACAGATAATGTAAGTATAAAGATTATAATTTTTCTATGTATTAAAACTTTATCAGATGGGATATCGAGGAAGTTATAAGAATGTTAGAAAATTTTGAGCATCAAAAAATGTTCAAATATTAATGAATTTGAAATAGCAAACTGAAATACTAACTCTTAGAAGAGCGGTACCAAAAAATTCAGCAAGTAATTTACGAGCTAATTCATTTTCTATTCGTTCATATTTTTTGAAACGTTTTAAGTGATGATCCATTCTATCTGAAATCGTCAAATATAAAATTATTCATTCACTTTGCTATTATAAAGAAATGCTAAATTTTAAACTGAAAAGTTCGAAATGAATATAAAATTTTCTAAAACTTCACAAAACTTCAAAATCTGTAATTTCAGACAATACAATCGCCAAATATTTTGTGCAATTACTATGCCGAATGAATTGTGCAAATATTACGTAGCAACACGTCGAACACGTATGCCAGGTGATAGATTTCAGACGCTAAATTGACGTATTTGATCTTTCTGGTCAATTTAGTGATCAGTGCAAGTTAGAATGATCTAATCTTTCTTACCCAATAAAATCACATTTGCCGGTAAATCAACAAATGTCGAAGACCAAAATATCTTGGGGGCTTAATTGAAAATGTATTGGAAGTATTTGGATAATTTGTAATATATCGAAGTGTTTCGTAGTGAAAAAGGTTCCATAGTTTGTTTAAAGTGTTGAAGTAATTTAACTAAAAGAAGTTTGTTTGAAAGTAATAAATGTTTCTTAGGACGAGAAAAAGAAATTTTATTTCGAAACACTTTGAAAGTACGATAGAATGTGCCGAAAAGATTGCAATCAGAAGTGAATTAACTTTTATTTATCATTGAAGTTCTATTTGGAAGTGTTATATTTGAACAAAATGTACAACAAAGATGTAGGCAATTTCATTCACTTTCAACCGTTCATAGTTTAACATTGAAATTCCGTTTGCATTTTGTAGAATGTAAAAATATCACCTTTATTGGCGTTTCGAGATGTGAGAATGAGTTAGAATGGGACAACGTTAAGTGACAGTACATACGTCAATGTTGCGCTTATAAAGTGATGAGTGATGCCTTAACAATGATTTGATAGACAAATCAAATCGCGGTGATACATGAAATCTCAGTAAATGATAGTGAGCTGATAACAGAGAGTGAGATCAAAACAATTGAATCCAAAAATCTATCAATTTAAGCTTACCTGTACTTTCAAATGTGTAATTGTTAAATTTGTTATGAATGAAATACTTTATGGAGCAGAAATGATCATTTAAATTTGAGAAATCTTCATTTGATAATCAATTTTTGCTATAATTTCTCATCAATCGGAATGAATCGAAAATTCGGAAAGAAATTAATTAGGTATACGGTATTATTTTAATGAAAATTAATTGACTAGAAACTATTTATTTCTACTATTTATAGCAATTTTAAATCTATTTTGATTGGCGCAAATATTGTCAACTCCACCTATATTTCTATCATTTCATTTCTTTTGTAATCTATTATACCGTAAATCAATTATACATAAAAATAAGTGTAGTGACAGCTACTTCTCTTGAAAGCATAAAAAATTTCCTCTCTTCCATTTTTTACACAAATAGAGCAAATAGATCAATCAGAAGATCAAAGAATTGTTAGCAAAATGTTTTAGAAATAAGCTATTAAGAGTGGTAATATTTTAAGCTAACAAATATTTGAAGATCAAAAAGTTGATGGTAAATATTTCAGACAGTGTTTTGAAAATAAATTTATTGGATAGCATTTGAATACTTACTTTCTTAGACTATAGTATAGTTGTAGAACAGGAATTACTCAATGTGTACTTCATTATTATTAAGTACATATATTACTTATTTTTTGTCATATGAACTTTTTAGTAAGAGGAAGGAAGTACAGATAGATCATACGTATTTATGGTATCAGTAAAATTTTTTTACAGGTAGATACATTATATATATATATATATTTATGATATCAGTAAAATTTTTTTACAGGTATGATAAAAATGAACCTTTTGATTCTTTTTACATCTCTGATGGATAATTTGAATTTTCCTTTTGTTTCTTTTTTTTTTGCTTTTAATTCAATTTACTATCATTATATGCTCATGCTGTTGGTCACCTTAGACTCATATATGTCAAAAATATTAAGTTAAGCTGCCAACAAATTAATGTTTATACGATATCTATACAAGAAAAAAGAATGTACCTTAATTTCATTATCAATGATATTTTACATTAAAGAAATCTTTTTTAATATTTCTTTATCAAATTTATAATAAAACAATTTTCATGCAATTCGATCGATAGAAGTTTAAAATTTGATTTAGCAAATGTTGTAATGCTGATCAGATGATTCGTGAAGAACTATAAAACTTATGTATACAGCTGTGGCATTCCGTAATGCTTTCATAAATGAATTTCATAGCAAATATTGTAAATGCTGATCAGATGATTTGCGGAGAATTATAAAACTGTATACAATTGTGCCAATTCAAATGTAATCAAAGAACAAACAAAAACCGCATCGTTTTATTATTTAATTTAAATCAGAAAATGGAAATCCGATCTGTCCGATAACAAATAATGCATGATAAAAGGTGAAAAATAAAAATTAGCTAAAAGCAAGAAAAGCAATACAACAACTATTGTATTTTTCTATTTGATATAAAATATTAGCAAAAAAAAGGAGAGAGAGAGAGAGAAGTGGATAGATAAAAAAGCATAAACGGAAAAATAGAAAATAAATCAAATAGTATTACACTATTACCGGCCAATTATCAAATGATTATTAATCAATTTAAAATGCTAAATATATTCTATGAAAAATGTATATTTACTAAATCTCTTTTTTTCTTTTCCAATAGTTGGCCGATGATGCAATGGAATATAATCAATAATGTGAAAAATTAAGAGTGAAGTTTTGATAAACTTTTATGCCCAATTTTACACAAATAAAATTTTAACTTCTGACAGATGATTTATAGAGAAATAAAAAAAACTATCTAATTTAGAGATAGATGAGGCAAAAAAATTATGCAATTTGAATTTCATTAAATTTGAATTGGGTAAATTTTTTAAAAATGAGCCGAATTCTTCACACTCGTATTTGTCAGCTTTACTGGACTCTTCCTCCATCACTTCATGTTAGATCCCTGAAACAAAAAAAGGATAAATAAATATAAATAATTAATGACAAAGAATTAAGAATATTTGCGAAAGATAATAATCAAAAATAATTTTAGTATTTTAGGAATAGATAAAAGATTGCAAAATCAAATTTATACTCTTATCACATTCAAAAAATGAATGAAATGTTGCATGGAATGATGATATTCTCAAATATAATAATTTATTAATAAAGAATCTGATAGTAAATGTGAGTAAATTAGAAATTATTAAATGAATTTTTGATCAAAACTTAAAACTGTTATAAAAACACGCCAAAAAAATAAAAGTCACCATACGTTGTTTTTAATGGAATACCATCACCGTCCGTCTTATTTTCTTTCATATAACTTGGTGGCTGATCCGGAATTTGGAAACCAACGAAGATGAAATATGACCAAGCTGCAGCAATTGCTCCAACAAACGGTGCCAATATTGGAATCCAGAAATAGTAATTATGATAGCTGCAAAAGAAATTCATATAGGATATCAAAAAAACAAAAAGTATTAACAAATTGAAACCAAATTATACCCCAATTATAATTTTACAAATTAACAACAGGGACGATTAGGAGAGAAAAATCTATCCTTAATATGAATTCATTTGAAACTGAATTATTCATTACCGCTAACAATCATTAACACTGATAAAAATCATTAAATATTAAATAATTGAATATAACTATCAAATTATACGACAGCTATTCATAAAATATGAAAAATATTTCCATATAAATAGGAGACAGAGAGAAAAAACTTATCATACCTAAACATATCCCAACCATATCCGATCATGGCAGCAAAAACACGTGGCGCAAAATCTCGAGCAGGATTAATGGGATATCCAAGATTCATTCCACATGCCATACCAATCATTGCAACAAGTAATCCAAAAAGAATCGGATGAATACTTGCTGGAATTTCCAAACGTTTGTCTGTGATCATACATGCAAATAGTGCCAAAAATCCTGTACCAACCATCTGAAAAAAACGAAATGCAAAATTGAAATATTCCATTTACAATATATACACATACTTTTTTCCAGTCAAATTTACATTTGAATTTAATAGTATGAAAATAGCAACGAGAATAGCAACTTTTTTATAACAATTCTTTTTTTGGTTAATTTCAATAAACTTCAACTTAAAGAAAATAGAATTTTTATTAATTAAATATATTTTATAAGCTAATACATTGATAGTGTAATATCTGCAATTGAAATGATTTTTTTGAATCAAATTAAGGTATTTGGATTTCCTACTTTTTTTTTTGAAAAAAATACCGCCCCATAGAGTTTAGAAATGAAAAATTATAAGATTTAGAATAACAATGAAATAAATTTGAATTAAATTACATAAGTTGCGTTTAATTATTTTAGAATATAATTATGCTAATTACTTGATCCCAGAATGCGATCGCATTTGAGACATGAGGTGCGGGCATTGAAGTGAACAATCCTCCTGTACCATTTGGACCTGCTGCAATGCGAAGATCACCGACAACATGATACGTTTGATCTGAAATTATTCTCTAACTTTTACAATAAAATTACTAGTGCCGATAAAAATTACAAAATGATACAATATATATATTTAATTATTGAATTTCAAAAAAATATATTTAATTATCCGAAATATATACATTTAATTATTAAATTTTTTCAATAAAATTAGGTCTAATTATATATATATATATTTTGTTTTTTTAGAAAAAATACCTAGATAAAGGCTATATGCAAGCGCTGTACCGACAAAAGCGCCAAGAACTTGCGCGATAGTATAGTAGAAGACATGTGAAAGAGGCAATTTTCCAAGCGTGTAAAACGTTAGCGAGATTGCTGGATTCAAATGTCCTCCTCAAAGACATTTATTGATGAATTAAAATATTGAAAAAGAATTCGAATTAAAAAAAAAGCTGAAATATGTTTCTTCATAAGTCTGCCATCGATAAAAAGCATTCATTTGAAATGCACACATTTTTGATGAAATCTTCTATATGTAATTTCATTTATGCAACAATTTTAACATTCATTTAATTTGTATAAAAATTTTTGAAAATAATTCAAAATTCAGCTAAAATGATAATCTATCAATCATCTCATGTATTCTTTCCAAAAATCTCCATATTTCTATCCTTTTATCATTAAAGTAAAAAATAGAAAAAAAAAACATCTTAATATGGTACCTGATGTTTTCGAACAGGTATACACACAAAGCATGATCGCTAATCCCCATCCAATATTGATCTGCATCCATGTATTCAATTGTTTATGCGACAAATCGTATTGGTGGACTATACAGATACCAATAAACTAAAACATTGTTTCTTTTCTTCCTGAATTTACTATCAGTTAAACTTTTTCTTTGCTTTAACAACTAGCAGATAAGGTCTAACAAATTAGATTACAGAAAAGGAAAATTTGCTCATTTATTGTATTTTATAAAAATTTTATTGCATATTGTGTCTTTAGCCTAAAATCATTGGGCTCATTCTTCTACGACGATAAAATATAATTTCAGTGAATATATCATATATTTCTTATCATTAGGCTGTATATTAATGCTATGAGATAAAGAAATAGAAATCAAATTTATTTGAAAAAGTTTCGTCTTTTTTTTTAAAATCAAAATCCTTAAAATCTTTTGCAAAAAACTTTTTCCATTCTTTTTTTTGCATAAAAGTTTGAAGAATTTGATTTAAAAAAAAAAGAAAAGCTTTTCACATTATTTATTTAATCTTCACTTCTTCTGACAGCTTATCCATTTTGACAATTTAATTGTTGAAAAAATATCGCAAATATTAGTAAATACAGGAAGGATATGGTCAATGAAGTGTGAAATATGGATGGGAAAATAAATTCATACTTTTTTTTTCAGTATAAAAGCAAACTTCAACAATAACTCCCTGAATGTTTCAACTAATTGATTCTATTATAATTAAATTTTCTTCTCTAATAATGCTATTATATTTTGAGTTTTATCACAAATTTAATTTATCAAAAAGTGAGAGAATAAATTTATTTAAAAAAATAATTTTTCCTTGCTAATTTTTATTTGATTTAGAAGTTTAATTAAATTTAAAGTGCTAATTAAATTAACAATTTCACATACAAACTGTGATAATAGTCTTAGCTTATTTGTATGATTAAAATAAGCAGCTTATATTAAATTGAGTAACTTATATTAAATAAATTCATAAAAAATACAATCAAATTGTTACCAGTAGCAGTAGGGTACCATAGAATTCGGATATACAATTAACAACAGTACGATTTTCAATGTGGAACATTCGTCGAGCTTTTTCTAGCGGTGGATCTATCATTTTGTCGCTTAACAGATTCTGAAAATAAACAAAAAAAAGTATTTTTTTAAATTGAAAAAAAAAGAAACAACGAGAATAGTGTGTTATTGACAGTTGATAGTGTTGATAAGAATTTCATACATTTTTAGACATTAAAATGTAATTAAATTACAATCAAATGCCAGTAATGGTTGAACAGAAATGAAAAAGATAGATGTTTCCTTTCAAAAAAAAGCTTTACAATATTTTATGAAAATTTTTCTAAACAAATATTGTTATAATACCTACAATTATACTATCATAAAAATAATTTGTTGAAAGAAACAACTTATTAATTATTTACTTATCAATTATAGTAAATAACTGATAAGTTGTTGATTGTAATAAATAGAAGATAATTTATCATTTACAATAAATGATTAGATAACTTATCATTTACAATAAATAAAAATGTGAATCATTAAAAGTTAGCTGAATTATCATCAATTATTGTTAGTTTTTCATAGAATGATTATAAAATGTAACTGAATGTGTCAAATTTTAGTTCAGGTAATTTTAATTAATTGATAACAATAAATAAGAATTAGTGTTAAGAAGAATAAATATAAACAACATTCATTGCAAATGAAAAAGAAAAAAACAAGTAATATTTATACTTAAACTAATTTCTTCTTCTCTCTTCGATTACTCTTTCATTCAGTTCTACGACAAAAGTTGCACCACCTACCCAGAATGACAACATTCCAGAAGAACAGTTGAGGAAATTTCTTCAATTTAAAACAATTGACACGTTTAATTTTTTAAGACGAAAGATGGAACGAAATATTTCGTTCCATCTTTCCTTTTTATAAAAATGTTCTATTCTCTTTATTAAACAAAATTTCTTTTTTTAAAAATATTAATTCTTTAAGAAATGTTTTCTTCACATACACGTATACAACATATACACGCACGCACGCGCGCACACGTATATATATTTTTATAAAAGAGAACGAAATATAATTACAAGCATACACATACATAACGCACACGTATACGCAAGCACGCACACGTACACACACATCCATACATACATACACAAATATAATTAAAAACTAATTAATCCTAAAATAATATCCGTTTTGTAACTTACTTCTTTTTTTTAACACTATTTAACAAAAAACGTATTGCAATAATATTATAAAAATTTATCGAACAAATAATAAAAACTTTTTACTTTGAAAATTAAAAATAACATTTAATTTTAAACAAACTTAAATAATTATTTCCAATTCATAAAAAAAATAAAAACAAATAATAATATCTTAGCATATTTTGATGATATAATTGAAGTGTGGAAAAAGTGAAGAAGCGATAAATCACTAGCAAATTTTCACTTTCATATAATTAATTAGAATTGATTGTAACCATCCAATCAATTCCATCCAATTTTATCTTTCAAATAAATAAAATTTTAATCCTAAAAAAAACCATGTAAACAAGATAGTGCATATATTACTGCAATTTTTTGTTTAAGTGATAAAACGAAATAGTGCTATTTTAAATGGAAAAATAAATGAGGAAAAAAAAGGAAAAGAAAAAAACGAATGAGATCTTTTGAATATTATTTTTAAATTTATTTAAAAAACAAAATTTTGAACTTAATTTAAACCTAAATGTTTTCTCATTTAATTTTATTTAAAATTACAAATAATAATAATCAAAAAAATTTCTTCACATTTCTTTTTTTAAACTTAATTTAAAGTAAGACTTAAATTTTTCGAATGAAATAAATTTCAGGTATGAAATTTCTATTCTAATTTGTAAATGGAACGAAAAAAAGAGAAGTAGAAATGATCTTTTCTGTAAATGTGAGCAAATGAAATTTCTGTTGCTTTTATTCAAGCAAAATTGCTTCTTTTAAACTCAAAAAAAACCAAGAGAACGAAAATTTTTTGCTGCAAAAGAAGAAATGGAATGAAAATTTTTAAAAAGAAAAAATTTTTAAAAAACACGAAAAATTAAATCAATCAATTATTAACAACAAAAAAAAAAACAATTCCTTACATTCACTTTTATGACAAATGATCTGATGATATCTTTTAATGATAAAAATTAGGAAAAGATTTAAGATGGAAGAAAAAATTCAGTTCATATTCTTATCATTTATCATTTTGTAACATATAATCGCGTAAGATATAAAATACGAAAAATATATTTATTATCGAAATACTAATAAATATGATGATGATGATGATGATGATGACCACTGGTCACTATGGTAATGATAAAAAGAAAATTGACCGTTGAAGAAATTTTTTCCTTCGTTTTTATGATCAAAAATTTATCATAAAAAAGGTGGCATTTTGGAAACTGATTGAAATGTTACAAAATGTTTGGCTGTGATTTTGAACAAAAATGTTAAAAAGGAAGAATGAGAGAAAAGAGGAAAAGAAAGAAAGAGAGAAAAAAAGAAATAGGGAGAGAAAGGAATGAGGAAAAAATGGAGAGGAAAAGAAAAATGTAATATGCGGAAAAATTTTTAGGTAAGAAAAGAAGCACAGAATGCATACAAATTTATTGAAGATGTTTTTTTTCGTTTTCTTTTTCCTTTTTAGAAAGATGAATTAACTATCTGAAAGTATATTATGAAAATGATGAAAGAAAAACAGATTGACTAAAGCTGGCATTAACGTAGACTTTTACATAGCCATCTAATTTGGTTCTAATTTAATTTCTTTCAATGTCCACAATTTCTCCTCCTTACTCCTTCTTACTCACATTCATATTTCATCCAATATATATTGCAAGCTTCAAATAGTACATTATGTTATGATAAGAGAGATAGAGAGAGAGAGAGAGAGAGAGGGAAAGAGAGAGAGAAAATGGGGAAATAAAACATAAATTCCGCACAATCTATCCTCACACTAACGAGCCATTTCTTCGTTTGGGTGTTTTAATATTATTTCTTTCTTTTTTTTTTTTTTGTAAGCTTTCAATGGTACGGGGCTATATCAGATCAATAATCATTTCAGGAAAAAATTGAAATGATAAAGAAAAAGAAAGAAGGGAAAGAAAAAGAAAAACAATTTCTAAGCGCTCTCAAAAAAGTGATATATGTATAATAGATAATAGATAAGTAAAAAAAATGATAGAGATAACAACACATTTTAAGCTTAACAAAATGCATTTTTAACTGATTAACATCAACAACTTATAATGATAATTTCATTTCTAACTGATTAACACCAACAACTTATAATGATAATTTTTTTGATAATTTCAATAACTAATTAACATCAACTTATAATGGTAATTTCATTTTAACTGATTAACATCAACAATTTATAATGATAATTTTTTAATTCTTATAATGATAATTATGCACTTGTTTTTGTTTTTTGCTAATTAATTAATTTTGCAGGAAAAAAAAGTTTATGCTTATAATTTAAATTTCTTTTTCCCTCTTTTGAAATATTTCTTTTCTTTTTTGAATTCTACATTTATATCAATGCTTCTTTTTTTGTTTTACATTTCTTTCTTTCTTTTTTATATAAAATTTCAATATGATTTTTTTCTTACATTCTTACCTTCTTCCACTCTTTTTCATCATCTTTTCGTTTTTGTCTTTTTCTCTCATCTAATTTTTAAAATTTAAATTAAAATATTATGATTATTTTTAATTCTTACAAATTAAACTTAAGCTACCAATTTCACTTTACAACGATTATTTTTAATTTTGTGTTACGTACAAAAAGATGGATGGAAAAGTTGTTCTCTTTTTTTGATATTATAAATTTATTTTCTTTAAAAAAATCAACAAAATTTGCATGTCATTCTTAATTTTTATCAATTAAAAATGACAGCAATTATTTAAAACAAAAGAAAAAAATTGAGTAAATTTGATAAATTAAAATTTTTTGAAAAAAAGACAATTATTTATTATTTCTATTTAATCTAAGCATATTTGAAAGCATTGATGCATCAAAATTCTTATTATTTTCATCATGAAAATATCCTATTTTAACTTTAACACTGAAAATTTCACTTCCTTTCATTTTGCAATAATTTTAAAATCCTTCTATACTAAGCCTCATAATTACAATGTAATAAAAACAATGCCTATTTATCATCATCTTACATCAAGTGGAAAATTGTTTCATCAAATGGAAAATTTTTGTTAATATGTAGAGAGAGAAAAAACAAAGGACCCGAATTTCTTTTTCCTAACTTTTTACTTCTTCTTTTAAAATTAATTCATTAAATCTTTGCAACAGATAAAACAAAAGAACAATTTAAAATTGTTCGTTAAAATCAAGGAAAAAAGAAAATGATGTAAATGATCAGTGATTTCTCTTTATCATTAAACAAACATTATCATTGATCAAATAAATCAGCAATATCTATATATCCAATTTTTCAGTAATTTGATAAATTAATATTACAGAAATAAGATAGAAGAAAAATTTCGCATATCAATTGTTTTCTTTTTCTTTTACCATCCAAAAATATAATTTAAAATGGATTTTAGAAAGGAAAAGAACGAGGAAGAAGAAAGATAGAAATTTTAGTTTGAAAAATTTGAAAAATAGAAGGAATAAAATTCCCTAAAGTAAAATTTCAATCACGTCATTTTATTTCAAATATTTTCTCTCTCATCTAAATAGATTTAAAATATATGTACTCATCATTATCAGTTGAAAAAAGAAAATTGAGACAATTTAAGCCTATAAATAGTATTGTCAACTGTCATCTATTAATGTAGCTTGTGAAATGGCGGATTAATTTAAGGTAATGAAAAAAAATTGTTTAATTTTTTTAAACATCACATGAAAATGTTATTATTAACAACTTATTTCTTCATAATGATAATATAAATAGTAAAGATGAAATTAGAGATGAAATTTTCCGGTAATTTTTCAGGTAAAATTGAATGAAAATCGTACTAATTGAAATTGGGTAAAATGTATAATCGATGATCTCTTGGAAGCTTTTTCTTAAAATTTAGTGAGAAATTTCGAATTTTTTGAAATGTAAAAGAT